GATGTGTTTGCCTTGTGCAGATAGCAGGCGGTTGGATGCCTCCCTGTGCAGGCAGCAAATGCATTGGCTGAGGTTGAGGGCGGTTCTCCTGCCACAGTTGTTTTCTGTCCTGGACTTTGTTGGATCTGGAGCCTCCAAATTGCCTTGTCTGTAATCAAAATACAGCTTGTGTAACTCGGAACAGACAGTGTGAGGAGGGTTTGCTCCTTGTTGCTGGACTTGTTATTGCATTGTAGAAAGATCAGGTCGATCCATAACAAATCGTTCCCAGAATCATGTGAGAACCTCTGTCCCTGGGCAGCACATGTGAAGCATCTTGACTTTCATGCATGTGGTTTAGAATTTATCCTTAATGAACTGTCGTCTTCTCATCACACCCAAACCACCGTCCTTGTGAATACCGGTTCAACTCACCCAGGACACTGCTATTTTGGACTTGATGATCCTTGTGGGTCCCTCCCAACTCAGAATATTTTGTGATTCTCCTGTGATTCTATTTAAACCCACCCAATGGCAGAGAATCACAAAGGAACAGCAAAACTCAGCCTGAGTGATCTTTTTTCCCTCTTTTTCGGACAATTCACTGTTTTGGTAGCAAAGACCTAACACAAATGTTTTTAATCTTACTTCAGTATTCAGACAAACTGTTCATTAGCTGAACAGCTTAATGCTTAATTGACTTGCCTGTTAAATATGGATCTCCTGGTTACCTGTGTTGGCTCAGGAATATGTTTACAGTATCAGTGTGTTTTGTTTCCACCTGGAGCACAGGGAAGTGGTGAAACATGGGAGCAATCCACAGAGGTAGAAATTCCTTTACCCTGACTCTGCTGCCTTCTGTTCCCCCCAGCTGGGCCTCAGCACCATGAAGAAATGTCTGTCTGAATCCCTAATCAGAAAGGTTTGGAAAATGCATTGTTTCCTCAGTCTTGGGAGCCACGTTTGCAGAGAGTTAAATATTTATTCACCCATGGAACAACAGGTTTGAACATCTTGTGTCGTCTCCGTTTCTCCCCCGTCCAGGGCACGTTATTTAGGAATCAGGCTGCTTGTCAGCTTTGGGACGGGGATTTTAAATGTCCAGTTCTTCCAGATCTGTTGCTGAGGTGTCGTGGCTGTTCTGCTCAGCTTTGCTCTGGTGCTGGTGCTGAAGCCCTTGTTCCTGCAGCAGCTTTTGTGGTTTGGTGTGGTGGCTCCCCTTCCCTGTAGTAGCTGTTCCCTTGTCTCTCACAGGGATTTATGAAGTTCCCTTTTGATTTTCTATGAGGAATGAAGAGAGTTAATTTTTTGTCATACTGAGAGCAGGGCACTGCGTTGCCCGAAAGTCTCCCACAGCATTAACCAGAGGCTGGGGGGGTGTGGGTGCCACATCTGAGCCTCGTCACATTGTACCACATCATGCCACAGCTTCTAAAAGTGCCATCTGAGAATTACAGAGTATGCAGAGTTAGAAGGGACCCACAAGAATCATCAAGTCCAACTCCTGCCCCTGCCCAGGACACCCCAACAATCCCACCCTGTGCCTGAGAGTGTTGTCCAAACACTCCTTGAGCTCTGGCAGCCTTGGGGCTGTGACCGCTGCTCTGAGGAGCCAGTCTTTTTGCAAAGGGGCGAATTTACATGGGCTGAAGACAATTATTGGAGTCTGCAGACCTCAGTGGCAAAGGGGTATTTGGGGTGCACTTGCTCAGCACAAACCTATTCAGTGTAGTCCTGCAGTGAAAGCACAACATGGCAGCAAAAAACCCAAACAAAACCTGCCATCTGACCTGTCTGAGTCACAAAACCTGTAGTATTAGTTATAAAAAACCATAGTGAAGATACTCTGGAGAGGTTTTACACAACTTCAGATGCTCCCTGACATGCAGACTTTGATAATGTCACACCGACATCTGTTCAGGATCTTGGGTAATGAGGATTTGCACAAAATAGTGATTGACAATTTCTGGTCTTGAGTGCTTAATGGAAAAAAAGCTGTTGCCTTGGATGCTTTGCTTTCTTTGAGCTGTCTTTGAGGCATCAAAAGCTTGTGGAACAGGAAAAAGAGAAACGTTAAGAACGGTTTAAAAATAGTTCAATTGTACCTTCTAAGAACCTTTAGAGTGGAGACTTGAAGCAGTTTCTACCTTGTGAATATTTGCAGCTGAGTTCAAAATGTGTAAATAAGCAGAGGGCTTTGAAGATTAGTTTCCATAACAAATTAAATAAAAATATTGTGTGGCAGAATGTTAAGTAGGTGCCATGTGTCACCGGGAGCTTTGCATGAGGGCCAGCTTTTCCCAGTTCCTTGTCTGTTCCACTGACTCCTTGGGAAACAAGGGCTGTCTTTTGAATAGTTTAAACTTTGTAGTTCTGAAAACCCAGGAAAATATCCTTCTGCAGGAACACTGGGACTTGTGCTGCTAGCACTCGCTCTCCGGCTCCCACAAACCATTCCTGCCTGCATTTCCCAGTTTGCTTCCCAGCTGGATGCTGTTCCTGCTCCAGGGAGGTACCAGACAGTGTAGGAGTCCTTGCAGGACATCTCTGTGTCAGGGGAGGTGTGGGAGAAACAGCCCAGGCTTTTCCCCCACCCATAAACCTTAGTTTAGGGGCCTCTGGTGGTCTAGTGGTTAGGGTGCAGGACTCTCACCGCTGCGACCCGGGTTCGATTCCCGGCCCCCCGGGCAGATGGAGCTCGTCA